CGCTTCAATCGCATTGCCATCGAACGCATTTGCGGAGCCAGGGTGGGCGGTAACGATGTGTGCTGGCGGGCAATCTGTAGAAATGGAGGCTATTTCCGCGGGAATGAACGATGTGTGCGAGAAAAAGATATGGATAACGATTGTGTTTCCGTTGATGAATCAAGATAAAACGTGGTAAAAATGCTGATTAGAAACTGGAACCTAGGGATCACCGCATACTTTGCACATATTTAAAGGCAGTGAACAAGCTAAATGGATATTTTGCACATTTTTGAAGGTAACAGGCTAAATGGACCTTCCTCGAATTTTGGTAAAGCTAGGTAGTAGATCCCAAGTACACCGTAGCCCAAAACACAGCTGCCAGTTCATGCGCTAAGTCCTGAAAAATGCGCTTTAAAACTCCACCATGAGGCTCACTCAATGAAAGTGGGCGGGGATGATGGAGTTTTGAAGCATCCCACTCAATGAAAGTAGGCGGGGCTGGTGGAGTTTTGAAGCGCATTTTTCAGAACTTAACGCATGAAAATTGGCAGCTGATGGCTACGGTGTACTTGGACGGTCTACGCCAAATTCTGAGAAGGTTCCATTTTGCATGTCCACTGCCTTGGAAGCTAGTCTTTATTATGTGATGCAATACTCCAGCCTTTGACGCCATCATGGTCGCGTTAGAAACGTATGCGATGCAGACACGCACAATAATCATACTTACAGACAAATTTCCTACACTTACATTTCCCACCATGTGATGATGCCATTATACATGTCTGGATGCTTTTTATGCAATGAAAAAAGTAATATACCGATATTATTGTTCAAAATTGCTGGTCGATAGATCGACAACGAAATATTGAAATTTGACTGTGCTCAAAACCAGGAACCGAAAGGTCAGCCAAAACGCCATTCATGACCTTCAAAAACTTATAAAAATGTTCATCCCTGTATGATTTAGACACTTGTGGAGAACGATATGCACCCATCCCCCAGAACATCACTTAGTACATAAAGATCTGCCCCTACATAACACGTGCGCTAACGCAAAGTAGACAAGTCAGAGAGTGGGACTGGTAGCTAGATAAGCAACGGAAAGAAAGTGATAGCACAACCACACATCAAACACCGATGTGCTAGTTGTGTGCGTGTTATGGATGTATATGTGTGACCAAATGTGAGCTAGCTAGCTGTATGCAATAGCCACGTGTGTGTATATGTATGCTATGTGTGTATGCATCGAGAAACCTGTTCTACCACCATCACCAGCACACAGCATCGCTTTGACGCATACACAGCGACACAACGACGACGATGATCATAATGGTGGCACAACAACGTATAACGACGACGACGACGACGATGGCTGGGACAGCAGCAATGGTGGTGGTCGAAGCGAAGCGCCTCGCCTCTGTCTCGGCCATCATCGTCGACCATAAAACTGGTCGAGCATGTCTGCCGCCGCCGCACCGAGGCGAGCGAGTGCGCTCAACGGCGCAGCTAACCAACAGGCGCAATAGCAAATAGCAAAACAACAAAATAAAAAGCACTCTATTTAGCCATAACTGTTCTTACCTCAACTTCTCTTCGCTGTTGTTGTTGTTGCTGTTGCTGCTGTTGTAGGATTACAC